TAGCAATTTTGATCTTTCACTTACATTATGTGTAAAGGTTTTTAAGTAAATTCAAGCCTGTTTGCTGGTTCTTCAGTGAAAGATGTTTTCCTTGGTCTGTTTCTTCCTGCAGGGGTGGAAGAACTGGGGGGAGGGGCACTAGCGTCCCTGGAGTGGAAACGCTGGGAGGGGTAGGGTGTTACTCCTGCATAAACTCACCCTAGCAATTTTGATCTTTCACTTACATTATGTGTAAAGGTTTTTAAGTAAATTCAAGCCTGTTTGCTGGTTCTTCAGTGAAAGATGTTTTCCTTGGTCTGTTTCTTCCTGCAGGGGTGGAAGAACTGGGGGGAGGGGCACTAGCGTCCCTGGAGTGGAAACGCTGGGAGGGGTAGGGTGTTACTCCTGCATAAACTCACCCACATTTGGTGTAGGGCATAGGTGAGAGCATGACCCAGAGGGGTTAGAGTGGCTGCTTTGGGGGCTGGGAGCATGGAGTAGGACCTTATAGGTCTGAACCATCCCAGAAACAGGTCTGAACACCTGGGATCCTCCAGGTGTTCAGCTGCTCTTCACTGCCACCAAATCTCAGTAGCTCCCATCACTTCCTTCTTATTCATCCCTCTTATCGGCAAGAAACTCCTTCCCCCATCTGCATTCATGTAGCAGATTCACATATCTGAATTATACATCCAAACCCTCTCCATCTGAGAATAATATTAGAGAGTCCAGGACATTGCATTTGGTTTGGGCATAGCCATATTTTCTCCCTCTTGCATTAACAATTGGCTGAGAGCAGCTCACTCACCATTTCAGATTTCCCATACTTGGGAGTGAAAAGAGGATTGGAAGAGTTTTTAGGACACAAATTATGCTTAGGCGCAGGGGGACTAATAATCATAAACATCCTGGCAGCATCCTGGTTCTCCAGCTGCGCTCTGCATTTCCAAAGAGATCAAGATTTTCCGTATAAAAATGCATGACTGGCTTTTCTTTGCAGTGTCTTCCTGATAAGCGCAAGAAATGCATGTAGGCTGAATCAGACCTATGTGCAGTGTCTGCACACAACCTTAACCATTTGTGAGTGATGAAACACGAGGAGGACATAGGAGTAACAGCAGCACTTTATCCTTTGTTAGCACCCTCCATCCAAGCTTAATCCTTACAGTTTATATTTGAAAGGCCTGTACTAACCCCATTTTCCAGATGGGAAAACTGAGGCTCGGGGAAATGAAATTCAAACCTCTGTAAAAGTGGCCATCCATTCTGGAGCTCAGTCTGGGGGAATGTCTACACTGCAGTTAAACACCTGTGCCTGGGCCATATCAGCTGACTCAGGATTGCAAAGCTCAGGCCAAGGGACTGTTTGATTGTAGTGTAAATATTTGGGCTCAGGCTGGAGCCCAAGCTACAGAACCCAAGCCCAAAGTCTACCTCACAATTAAACAATCATATGTTATTAACTGCAGTGTAAACATACCAAGAGACCTGGTTTTTCAGAGATGCTGAGCACCCACAGCTACCATTGACATCTGTTGGAGTTATGGAAGCTCAGGCCTTCTGAAAATTAGGCCTAAGGTGCTTCAATTTAGTCATCCAAAACGTGGAGACTGCTTTTGAAAATCTGGACCTAAATGAGTTGACCAAAGTCATGCAGCATGTCTGTGGCAGAGACAGAACTTACATCTCCAAATGCACAAGCCCTGTATCATTGGTTGGTGCAATCTGATGGTGATAGGATTATCTGTGATAAATTTACACACTGTTCCTTTATTCATAAAGTAGAAAAATTACCCAACATTACTCAGCTCCTTAACTCAGTTTAATTTTTGGTTTTCTTCATTTAATTCCTGACTCTGGGGTGGGGCTGAGGATAAGGGATTCAGTATGTAGGCTGCCCCTAGGAGAGAGGACTACCCTAGCTCTCTCTCAGTGCAGCAGCTTAGGGCCAGGTAAGAAGCACCTCTCCATGGCCACTGCAACTCCAGCAGGCACAACTGCATGTCCGCTCCTGGGGCAGATCCAGATTTCTCTGCCCCTTGGGCTCCCCGGCCAGGGTGAGGAATGCAGCAAACTGTGCACTTTCCCCTCCCTCCCTGACAAAGGGAAATGGCCAGCAATGTTCCCATACGAATTGGGAGGGATGAGTTTTAGTGCCCCCCCCCCATTAAACAGCACCTGGAGGTAGGAGATTTGGGACTAAGGCAGTCTCAGTGCGGGTGCTCCCAGCCAGAACCTTTCACCTGCCTGGTGCTTGTCTGTTTTCTGTATGGTTTTATGAGAATCCCATTCTGGGCACATGCCGTTTTCCTGGCACAACCAAACCCTTACCTTAGTTTGGAACTTATTAGTTAAAGTTATTAGAGGAAACTGCCTACCAAATTTGGTGGTCCTAGTACTTATCATTTAGAAGGAGTTCTTGAACAGACAGACGCATAGACAGACTCTCGCACAAACTCTCTCAAATATAGAGTAGATGATTTGTTTTCTGCCACATTGCATGTGACTGTTTCTGTCAAATTACACATAGCAGGGACTGGATATCTGTGTTTAAAGCATCTGGCTTTGATGTATACTTTTTTACTGAAATGATACAGCATGGTTTCTCATATTCATAGACGAACATGCTGCAATCACTCAATTATAGTTTATGTCTAATTCATTATTTTATTTACTATTTTTGAGTAAAATGCCATCAAATTTAACTTACTTGTTTTGATTTTTTAGGATCTTGTGTCTTTCTCTCTCAAGGATGGTGAGTATTCTTTTTTTTAACAAGTTTTTAATATAAACATATTGGTTTCACATACTGTAAAATATCTTATTCCGGAGGTGCCATTATAGCTGTTATGTTATCTCTATTTTTTTAATGCCAACAGCCCACTGTTTCCTTGCTTCAATGTTAAGAGAACCAACTTTTGTATTGTAATATAAATGTATAATAGTAACTTACAGTTAATTAATCTCTCCTGCTTGTTAATCGTCTGATCTCACCCTGACCTACAAATTCTTTACATTATGGCTTAATACACAAATGTGTCTGATGCCAGAAAAGTTCTGTAGCTAACTAATGAAAATGCATTTTTTGAAGAGGCTTATGCAAGGTAGGTGCCCAACTCCTACTGAGAGTCAATCAGACCATTTTGAAAATCTCAGTCTAAACTATTTGTTCTACAAGTTACTTGAAGCACTAGCTAAAACGAAGGCCTGACAAGGGAATACATTCCTGATCTCCTGCGAAGCCTTTTTTAAACAAATGACAACGTTTTTGTTTTCTTTAACAAGCGAATGTTTTGTTGTAAATTGCAGGAGGTGGATTAAATTACTAGAATTAAATTATTAATGATATAAAGAATTCCTTACTGTAGCAAAGTCTGCATGTCAGATCAATGGTTGCACTTTGCATCTGTGTTTTCAATATACCTTTCCATAGGATTGAGGTTAATTTATTGTTATTAAGACTCATCCACATCAGGACAAAGTGGCTTTTTTTCCCCATTGACTTTCTCAGTTTATTTTTGATGGAAAAGTGGAAAATTAGGCAGCTATTACAATGAAAGTTACTACATTCCTCAGTCTAACTTAATACAAAGTAGTATTTTCATGTCATCGCTTCAAAAGATGGTTTTTCCCTTTGGGAAAGCAGAAACCAAACTGTAAGTTATCAGAGAGGCAAGATAGCATCATGATGCTAGTTCTAGCTTCAGTTCCCTGTTCTGCCACAGACTTCCTGTGTAACCTGAGCAAGTCACTTAGGCTCAGATCTGCACAAATATTAAGGTATCTAATCCCAGTGAATTCCAGGTTAGGCGACTAAGCCTATGTAACTATAGATGCTGTCATTGCTCATAACATTATCCAGCTCTTTAGTTTTTCTGTGCCTCAGGTTCCCATCTGTGAAATGGGGCTACTAATCCTTACCTCACACAGATTATTGAGAGAATAAATATATTAAAGACTGTGATATGCGCAGATCCTAGGGTGATTGGGGTTAGATAAATACCTAACCTAAACAGATAGGTAGGTTAACAACTGTCTGTGAAGTGTCACCTTTGTATCACAGACTTGCTCCATATTTCAAACTGGTATCTTCACAGGGACACCTTTAAAATGTAATGGCATTTTTCATGCCAGAGTGCTCCCAGAATACCTTATAAAAAGAAGAGGCAGATGCTGTGGGGATATGCACATAAAAGGAGTAGATCTGGCACAAAGTGTTTACAATCTAATATGCTTAAAATATCTTTTTCTTTAGCACTCCTGCTTCCCAGCCTCAGAGTGACTTTTTACCATTGAATGCTGTCAAATTGCCTTGTCCATTCCTTCTGCTCATGCAATAAAGAATAAGTACAAACAGCTGTCAGCCATATACATATACCAAAGTTAGCTTGTAGCTAGATCTGTTTTTATTATTCAACTCCAGTCTCTATTGGAAGAAATGAAAAGCACTGAACTGGTATATTTAGAGTTGTATTTAGACAAAGTAAAACATCTTGCATTGTCACTTAGATGCCTCGTTCCCCTACAAGTCTGTTTAACTTTGATTTTGGCACTGGTCATGCTGCAGCGTCTCCCTGCTGAGAATGAAGTTCTCACCCTTTTCTCCACAATTTCCAGTTCTTTCTACCAGCTGTGAGAGGGTGTAGAGAGGTCCTGCCAGAATCCCTGCAGTGAAAGGGGTGGAGATCCTTTGCCACATAAGCACTCGCTGGTTACAGTGAATCTCTGCTGACAGTGAGTTTTATAGGCAAGGATTACTTCACTATAAGTGACTTAGATGGGCACGTAGGTACTGATCCTTAGCTGTTGTCATTGGACCTGGGCTAATTTACTTCAAAGAAGCTAATGAATCCATAGCCCAGTGCTTTACCATGTACTAACAGCTGAACCCTTATTTCTCCCCAGACTGTAAATATGCTGGCATAAGTTGAAAGGACAGACAATGCTATCTCAGTATTTAATATAGTCACCACCCAGAACAGAGTGCAACATTTGCTTTTTGATCTGACACAATTAAAACTGGTCAATTCTGTTTCCTTCTATTTAAGGCTATTATGATGCCCGAGCACGGGTGCTGATCTACCATGTCACTTGGCTGCTGAGAATCCCTGTAGAAGAACTGGAAGTCTTGGAGGAATCTCTGCTTGAGAGCTTGAAGGAACAGAAAGAGGAAGAATCAGAGTAAGGACGTTTGTAATCAGGCTTTGCATTTGCTATGAGTTTAAAGCAGGCTCCTCTCCCAGCAGAAAACTCATCATGAGTCACCTGCAGTCTAGTCGGCTGTGTCTAGACTGGCAAGTTTTTCCGGAAAATCATCTGCTTTTGCGGAAAAACTTGCCAGCTGTCTACACTGGCCACTTGAATTTCCGGAAAAGCACTGACGATCTCATGTAAAATCATCATGCTTTTCCGGAAAAACTATGCTGCTCCCGTTCGGGCAAAAGTCTTTTTCCGAAAGACTTTTGCCCAAAAGGGCCAGTGTAGACAGCATAGTACTGTTTTCCGCAAAAAAGCCCCGATCGCGAAAATGGCGATTGGGGCTTTTTTGCGGAAAAGCGCATCTAGATTGGCCACGGACGCTTTTCCGCAAAAAGTGCTTTTCCGGAAAAGCGTCCGTGCCAATCTAGACGCGCTTTTCTGAAAATGCTTTTAATGGAAAACTTTTCCGTTAAAAGCATTTCCGGAAAATCATGCCAGTGTAGACGTAGCCATCCAGTCTCTGACACTCCCTCTTGTGATCCTTAGCTAGTCAATTATGGCTTGATTTTTTTTCTGGAGGTGCTCTTATCTCCTTTGGAGGTGTGAATACTCATCATTCTGAAAATATGGGCACTAGGGCCCAACCCTGCAAGATGCTGAAGGCCACCCAGCACCTTCCAAGATTGGGCCCTAACTTCTCTGCTTCAGTTTCTCCATCTATAAAATGTGGATAGCAACCACTCAGAGATCTGAGGAGGAGGACCGAAGGTGGACCAAGTATTCTGCATTCATTAGAGCAGAACCAGTTTGGCACCAGCAGAGAATGTTGCAGTATGTTTGTAAAGCACACTGATGCTGAAAACCACAAAGAGCTAGTGTCTGCCATCCTCACTTTAGTGTATAGCACACTAGTTTACAGACAGTTTTGACTATGACAATTGGAATTCTTACTAGTAAGGCCCTAATCAGTGTAAGTAAAGGTGGAAGAGTGAAGCCCCAAGTAAGTGCTAAATATTTTTATAATTGTTGTTCAGTCCCTGTCAAATCCCCATCTTTGCAATAATGCCTCTGCCACTCTGATGTTACTAGACACTTTTAGCTTTAGATCCTCATCTGGTGACTTTAATGGAGCTACCCTAGTTTACACCAGCTAAGGGTCTGGGCCTGGAGTTAGAAGAGTGTGTAAGTGCCTAACAATGCAAATAGATACTGGTAGAATTTGATTTCAGTGGGAGTTAGGTGCTAATCATTTAGTCACTTTTGTAAATCTTGCCAAGCACCTATCTCCATCTTAAGGTGCCCAAATACCCATGTAAACCTAGCCCTGTGGTCTTGATATTTGAGGGTATGTCTACACTGCCACCCTAGTTCAAACTAAGGTGGCTAATGTAGTGGGATTTAAATATCCCAAGCTCTATTTGCATGTTCCCGGGTGCCGCCATTTTTAAATGCCCGTAATTTGAACTACCTACCCGTGGCTACACGCGGCACAGACTAGGTAGTTCGAATTAAAGCTCCTAATTCGAACTACCGTTATTCTTCCTGCAAAGAGGTTTAACGGTAGTTCGAATTAGGAGCTTTAATTCGAACTACCTAGTCTAGTCCGTGCTGCATGTAGCAGCGGGCAGGTAGTTCGAACTACGGGGCATTTAAAAATGGCGGTGCCCGGGAACATGCAAATGGAGCCCGGGATATTTAAATTCCGGGCTTCATTTGCAAGTTCGAATGCCTACATTAGCCACCCTAGTTCGAACTAGGGTGGCAGTGTAGACATATTCTGAGATCATTAATTTCACCATCATAATATTAATCTTCATGATGAAACTGCCAAAGCACTAGAACCCAGGGGTTGTGCAGGCTGGGGATAAAGCGCTCTGTACTTTAGTTGTTGTGCGGAGGGAGCAGGTGGAAGTTCAGCAATATGGTGGCTGGTAAGTTTATTTTAATTCACTTGCAGGAAATCTGTTTAAACATAACTAATTTATTAGCTTAATCTAATCAAGTGCTAATAAACCTGTTAATCAGTATTTGTGACCCAGCGTTGTTTAGACGTTGCTGTGGTTTTCTGAACAGTTGTCTCAATAATTTCTTGTTAATTACATTATTATAAAAATGAGTAGTCCAAATAATCTCAAAGGTTGTGAATGGCTGAGGAGGACTGGGTTTTATTGGAATCCAGGAGCAAGGGTTAGTATTGATGGATTTTTTTCGTGCTGCGGCTGATAGAAATGGGTTCAATCCCAGCTGCTAGAGTGTGAGAAGGCACGTAATGAGGGTGAAGTGTTTTGATTAGTTTACAAAGTTCTTTACCTTTCAAGATGGTATTTCAACAGTGGGGCTAATTATGTTTTGTTCAGGCTTGAGACTCGGTTCCTGGGGCCTGATCTTGAGAAAACACAACCTAACCCAACAGGCATTGTGCAAGTTCTTAGGCTAGTGCTGCCTGCAGAATTGCATTATTATACTTTACAAGCTTTGCTTTGAAAACTTCCCTTTAGGTGCTAACAAACAGATCATAGGTAAGAGGAGTATTAAACGTTAATGGGGGGAGTGGGTGATTTAGGAGATTGGAAGTTGGGGTACAGAGCCTCTCAAGTTCACTTCTAAGTCATTGGTTCAAATCCAGCCATGGTTAGTCAGAACTAGATATTATTACCATTTGAAGTTTTTTGAGCTTGTGTGAAACAATCTGGTGTCAATATAACACAAATTACTGCCATAATTTGTCCCCTTGTTGTCAATCTCAGCAGAGAGGCCCCAGAGACTAAATAAAAGGATGTGGAAACTAAGCATAACATTTATTCCTAGAGGTGGTCCCTCCAGATCTCGGCTGAGGAATATTGGTGAGGGGTAGAGTGAGGAAAATGGCGTTTCCTGCTTCCTACCCAGACTTTCAATAAAAAGCCAATATATTTGCTAACGCTCTGGAAGAGGAGTACATGGCTTTGCTAGGCATAGAAAAGAGAGCTGTCCAGTGCATCTCTTCGCTTGGATCTATTCCAAGAGATCCTTTTTGGTTAACCTCACCTTAGATCCCTCCAGTCTTTTGTGGATTCCTAATGGCTTGTGTCAGTGATAGGCCTTATAGTATGGAACTTGCTTCTGACTGTCATAGCCCATTCCGTACTTTTCAACAGCTAAAGACTTCTTTTCCCTAAAGTATGCTGTGGTATCCTCACAGCCAGCCCCATATTTATAGCCTTCCTTTCCCCCTTTTCTTTTTTGTCCATATCATATTTTCTCTTCTCTGTCCAAATGAGCCTTTTAACCCACTGTCTCCCTGGTTGTGTTTGTGGTATTTTAAGCGATGTGTCTTGGTCTTATGATGATGATGATTTCTGGTGTGCTCTTATGCTGCTGTTCACAGGCCTTGTCACAGAACTGCATGGGTCCTTCTCTTCCTATCCACTTCCCATATGTGGCCCTGCACTGGTGGTGGGTAGATCTAGATGGGGGTGGACAATGCAAAATCATCCCCCACTGTAACCTCACAGAGTTTCCTAGGAAAAGGAGTCCCTCATGAAAGTGTACTGCCTTGTGATTTTTAAAGGGGACAGAACTAGCCAGCCAAGATTTTTGGCAGCCTCTGCAGTTTTACTCTATACTTGTAACAAAAACGGTTTGCTTCTTTATCTTCTGATGCAGAAGCTTTGGCCAGTGGCCCAGTTACATGCACAATTAGATTTTCAGTATGGGCATCTGTGACCTACTCAGGGCACAGTTTAGAGCAGGGCTACTCAACTTCGGAAGCTCACAGCACATGCCGAAGGCCGCAACTTAAATGTGGTTGCATATACATGCAAATATATATGCAAATATACGCAAATAGCTTCTTTCATACTGATGGGCATGAATACAAAGATTAAGGCAACACTACACAACACACAGGCTCCGTTTAAGTCAGTTCTGCTGATATTAATAAAATGCAATAGTTACCCGATTTTTAATGAGCAAAGTCCAGGAATTCAACTACTAAAACCCATGTCAACTGAAAGCCATTATATTGACTACTTTTTTGTTTTGGCTCCCACCTGTGGGCTGCGTGGTGAGCCCCCCGTAAACCCAAATCATACCATGGGCTGCAAACTAACAGGCTACGTTGAGTAGCCCTGGTTTAGAGCAATGAGAAGCTGTGTCACCCCTGCTCCTTACACTGCTTGGCTGCTGTGGCTTCCGATCTGGCCTGTTCACAAACAGCCTTCAGCATGCAAGTTACTGCCAGCTACGTCTGGGTGCATTCTTCAGCAGCCAGCCTCTTACCAACCAAGGCTATACTGTAGGGTGACCTCAGTGCACACACAATCTTGGATTTTCTCCTAGAAATGTACGTCCTCTACTGCCCAGCCTTCTCCTGGCTAATACAAGTATGTTGTTTCTTGAAGGTGATAATATGACAGTTTATTATTTCAAATAGCTTCTCAGACACTCCAGGTCAAACACATGAGATTAGATATAATGGCAAATCAATTGTATTTACTACAAAAAAAAGAGAGATTAAATTAATACAAATAATGAAGCATAAAAGTCAGAAATGGTTACAAGAAAAATAAAGATAAAATTCAACTAATGCCTAACTTAACAAATTGTGTTAATTTCAAAGCAGAGTTTCTCACCACATACTCTCTGAGTCTTGCTGGCCAAGCATCTTAGGCAAGGACCTCTTCTCCTGTTTAATAGCTACTTCCTTTATCCTTTCTCATGCCACAAAACAGTGGCCAGAGAGGGCCTCCTTTTTATGGTGTCAGTCCCCCTCTTGGAACACATTTCTAGCTGAAATTCAGGAGACCAAGTGTTTGTGTCCATCAGGCTAGTTTTCCCACCTGTTTGAACTTCCTTTGTTTCTCTTCCTACTTAACTGCACATTAAGAAGAGCCAACATTTTTTGTCTGCAACAGATCCATTTACCAACCTCAGTTTGGAGCATATGTTCGCATCATACTGGAAAATCTTATAGCTCACATACAATGTTGCTATACACATTTTATCAGGATAATATTGACTAGCAAAGTGAGTCTTCAATGGTACCATTCAAGAAATATCTTGTATGAACATTATTTCAGTAGGGTGTG